GAGAAGCAAATTCTTCTCCAGAAGCACAGATTCCCTCTTGTGTGCTATTGGTCAGATAAAGGTCACATGCCCACCCCTATGTCAAGGATCAACCTGAGATTCCCTGAGATAAAGTCATCGCCCACTAATAAATACCTGAGCAAGCCGAGGCTCTGTCCAAAGGGATGGGGGTGCCTGAGGCTCTTGACAATGTCTGGCACAATCTCTACTCTTTACAGGAGGATGACTGGGCCAGTGGCTCAAAACCTCTGTGCTCCAGCTTCCCCTCCTGGGAAATGGGTGTAGGAAGTAGCAACTGTTCCTGTCCTCTCCGCACCCATTTCCTGCTTTCATGAAACAGTGGTTTTCCTGGGGGCAGTGGTACTCCACATCACCTGGGACATGTGGGAAATGCATGCTCAGAGCAGCCCCAGACCCTCGGATTCAGAATACACTGGGTTGTGCCTGGCTATGTGGAAGTGCACCTGAGTGCCCCTGGCTTGTCCATTGAGCATATAATATCATATTAAAATGGCCTGTTTATTGGTCTCTAAAAATAGTAGTAACATAAATTGCATAACAACAATACCTAGAGCCAGGCACTGTGCAATACTCCACATGCAGGATGTCACCGGTGCCTGCAGTGGGCATGGAAGGACCGATTGCCTCGGATGCAAGAGAGGTCAGCAGGCAGCTTTCAGTTGTTGCCCTTCCGGGATGGAGTCATGGGCAGAGAGTGGCCTCATATCAAAGCTCATACCCTTCCAGGGGTGGCTGCCAGTGCCTGGGTAATGTGGGGTCATGAAGGCCAGGTCATCGGGGCTCAACGTGGAACATCTGTGCAGGTCATTGTAGCCAAAAAGCTCCCCGTGGGGTCAGCTGAGGCAGTGGTCAGGGCTGCCTCTCAGTCCCACGTCTCCCTCTGCCCTCCCCCTCTGCGGAAGTTGACTCCAAGGGCATGCCTTAGTAAGTCTCTACACTTGGCTGCGGCATCTCAGAGTCTGTTTCCTGGGGATTCTGACCAATGGCAGTACTCACAACAGCTCCCTGAGGTAGGCACGATGGTGAGCTAACTTTGCAGGTGGCACTGGGGCTCAGAGAGGTGCAGTGAGGGGTCCCAAGCCATGCTGCTGGTAAGCAAGGACAACAAGGGGTGGGAACGCTTCAAACTTCCCAACAGAGGGTGGCGTCACCTGGCTCTGAAAGGTGCCTCTCACTGCTGAGGAGGAACGGAGGGACTAGTGCAGAAGCAAGGGGAGCTGTGGGGAAACCTCAGACTGCGGCAGTGTGGGGAGAGGTTGGAGGTTCCTGCTGGTTTTTCTCATTACCGTGGCTCCCTCTGAGCCAGGCACACAGCCGAGGTGCTCAGTACATACAGGGTGGATGAATGAGTGGTTAGAGGATGGATGACAAATTCAGACAGGAGGGAAGTAGGCAGCCCACGCCTGTCTTGCTCACTCCATTCTGTGCGATGAGCGTGGTGCCCTCCACGTATGGATACTCAGCTAAAGTGTTGAGTGACTAAATGAACAAGTTCAAAAGAAGGAGATAAGAAGAAAGGAGGGAAGAGGGAGGAAGGAGAGGGAGAAAGGCAAAGAGAGGCAGGATGGAGGAAGAGAGAGGGGAGGAAGTGGAGGAGGAGGAGGAGGAGGAATGGGAGGAAGGAGTCCTGTTTATCTTTGCTCCAGGAATGAGAGTAACCTGCGCCCTCTAGTGGCAAAAGAGAGCCACTCCTCCGGGCTGGGGAAGGGAATTCAGGGCTTTGGGGCGTTGCAGCGCCAGCTGCAGGACCGGAGAGGCTATTTCCAGTTCGCCACGAGAGGCATGTAAGAACATGGTTCTAGCAGGCAGGGTCAGCCGGGTGAGGACAGGGACCAGGCAAACAAGGCTCTTACTAGGGCACAAGCTAAGGGGGCACCTAAAAATTCAGGAATCAAGGCAAATGTTTTAATGTAAACTTTAAAGTCAAATTGGTAAACCCTGGCCCACACATCAGCTGCCTGTTTTTGGAAATGACATTAGAGCTAGGATCAGGAGTAGGGTTTCCTTTCTTAGTTCCAGCGAGAGTATACCCCACAAGCTTCATGAATGTAGGTGTTCCCAAAGACCCTCGGCCTGCACGTGGTGCTAGTGCGGCCAGCTCACCTAGCTTAACAAGAGCACGCCTGCACAGGGCACTCACTACGCCAGCTTGGGTAAGTCCTTCCTGTGGCCCGTGGACCACCCACGAGGCCCTTTTAGATATTCCACGTGTGCGCCTTGCCTTTTCCAATGGACAGATCTCAGGGTCACATCACGTTTCCCTGACTGTGCCTCACTCACTCACTAGTTGGGCAAGATTTGATTTCTCTGTGCCTCACCTGCCCCCTCTGTGAAATGGGTTAATGCATGCAAAGGACTTAAAACTTCTCAAACTGTTGCTGCTGTTAAAAATGTGGGATATCCTCCCAGGGTTTGAAACCCAGCTCTGCCGCTTCCTGTGACACTGGGACATGATGTTTTGCATTACTAAGAGTTTCCCCATCTACAAAGTGAGGATTATAACTCCTGTCTGAGAGGGTGCAGGTGGGAATTCAGAGCTGCCATTGGCTCATCACCACAAAGCACTGGCCAACCCCACATGGACTCTGAGGAAGCTGGGATGTAAAGGACCCCTCAGAGCTTGAGAGACAACTAGGGCCGCGTAGGAATGGATGCTTAACCTCTTACTTCCCATAGGCTAAGCACACAGATGAGCCAGTCGTCTGCAGCATCCCTCTGCCTCTCAATGTCTGCAGGGGAGATCATTTTCCCTCCCCACCACTGCTGGCTGTCACCTCACTCACACCAATGGCTGTCAAGCGGCCACACCCCCACCCCAGCTACCATGGTCACTGGCTCAGGCGGTTGTGTGGACTTCTCCCTGATTTCTTGCCCCTATTCCTTTTTCTACCAATGTAATGCTTTCAAAACTCCCTGTTTAAAATCCTCTGAGATACATCCTATATAATAAAAGCCTAATATGCTAAGTGTCTGGTCAACTGGTCAGCCATTCTACCATTCTAAGCATAATATGCTAATGATATGTTAAGACCACTCAACTGCTCGCTATGATGTGCACTGACCACCAGGGGGTAGATGCTCCAACCAGCAGGTTAGCTTGTTGCTGGGGTCCAGCTGATGGAGACTGGGCCATACAGGCTAGACACACCCTGGAGCCCTCCCATGGTCCCTTCCCAGCTGGCCAACCTCCCGCATCTCTCCCCTGATCTTGCACTGGTGGGGTCTCTCGGCCTGGCCTGTACCCTCTTACAAAATCTGGGACCCTAGGGGAAATCGGAGAGCCAGTTTCAGCACGATCCCGCAGGCCAGGCCGGGCCAAGGAACCCCACTGGTGAATGAATTTGTCCACCGGGCCTCCAGTTCTAAGATAAAGACCGGTCACAGCCAACATTTCATTTCTTAAAGGATCAGTGGAAAGATTATGGGCTTTGGAGGGAGGTGAAAGTACCCCTTACTGAGACATCTTGGATAAGTTCACCCCGTTTAAACCCATTTCTCCACCTATAAAATGGGGACAATACCCAACGTAGAGTTGTTTTACATCCTAGCACAATGCCTAACACGCAGTAACCTGGTGATGGTATTAGTTCCATGAGTCACCACTGCCCAGGAAAGGCTGCTTCCTTTCATTCCTGGGCACCTGCCACATGGGAGTGCCAGCTGTGGTGAAGGAAAGGTATGTCTTGGGCCCACCCCAGTGTTCCCTCTGAGAGCAGGTGCCGTGTCCACCTTGCTCGTCGTTGTACCCACTACCTACTCCAGTGCCAGGCACACAGAATATTCACTTGTTAGGTGGAGCGGACAAGGAAAAAAGATCTCTTCCTGTACCTTCCACACACACCTTCAGTGGGGCAAGAAACTGAGGCTGGGCAAGGTGAAGTGTGAGCTATTAGTGGCACTTTGCATCTTATTTCAGGTGTTTGCTACCTTCCTGTAGACCAGGCTTTACCAAACTTCAGTCACATCCAAGCCACGTCACCATGTTTACTCTACTCATTGTCTGTGAGACAAACTGATCCACTTTTTTACCTATATAAACTAAAAGGAACTTTATAGCAATCAGTGTTTTAAGTAGAAGATAACCACAAAGTCACAGAGCAACAAATATAAAAACAATGTTGTATAAAAGCTTTTTAAAGAGAAATTGGAGTTAAGCAGTATTTTTCATCTTTTTCACCGTAACCCTCAAAAACATATTTTATATCAAAACCCAGTACTCATCTACATAGACATACACACATATATACACAAATATATAAATAAGACTTATAAAACAGTATTTAAAAAACTACATGTAATGCACATGTAACGCTATTTCCTAGTGTCTGGTTGTACTTTATTTTTAAAATGCTGCTGGTATCCCACTTCATGGATTCCCAGAGGAATGCCAGGAACACCACAAAAAACAACACTGGCTTAAAAGGCTGGTGCAGAGGCACTGTCACCGAGACTTTGTTCTCGTTTCCCCGGGAACGAACAGAGGATACTTCTCATGATGTGGTTCCATGTTTTTTACTGCCTGCCGATGGTCTGAGGAGTAAGCCTGTCCTAGGTTTATTTGTACTTGGTTCTGTCTAGAACAGGGGTGGGGAACCTTTTTTTCTGCCAAGGGCCATTTGAGTATTTATAACATCGTTTGCAGGTCATACAAAAGTATCAACTTAAAAATTAGCCCGCTATGTTTGGACAAACATTGGCAGGGCCAGCTCAAATGATTTTGCGGGCCTCACGCTGCCCACAGGCCAGAGATTCCCCACCCCTGGTCTAGAACATGGCTTATGTACATGGTGAGCTCCTGAGAACAGGTCAGTGCAGGCGATAATGACACTTAACGAGCAAGAACACAGACTTAAACAAAGCACTTAAAAATATCCCAAAGCTTTTTTTTTTTTTTTTTAGGTGTAACCCATCCTCTTCGCATTTCTTCAAATTTTCTGTGAGGTAAAGAGCGTAACTGTCTGGTTGTCACGCACACTCTTCTACCCGACCATGGACCTCTTTCTTCCTCTCAGGCGCACTTCTTCCAACTTCTTGAGCACTGGCTTGGCCTTTTTGGAGGCGGCGGAGTAGCTCTTCAGAAAGGCTTCAAACACGCTCTCGGTGTTGGGATGGGTACTGAGGAAGGCTTTCTCCAGCACGTAGAGGTCAACCCCCTTGTCTTCCGGAAGCGCAGAGATGAAACTCAGCCCGAAGTCGATGAGCACAATGTCCAGCTGCTCCAGGGGGGGCTTCAGGAGCATGTTCGAGGTGGTGAGATCACCATGAATGAGGTCCTCGTCGTGCATTCGAGCCAAAACCTGCCCCACGGTCTTGGCTAAGCCCAGGAGGCTTTCGGGAGGTTTTCCACTCTCGATAGCGGATTGAATATAATCTCGAACAGTCACCGAGCCCTCGATTTCTTCCATGAATAAGCAGTTGGAAGCATAATCCACAAAGAAGACAACCGGGGCAGATATCCCTGCAATCAAGACATAACCAATTTGAATTAGACTTTTTTTTTTTTAATGGTAAGCTTAACTTTTAAAGATTGATCCAGTTTTTTACATTTTCTATCTGCTTACTTCAGGAAAAAGATTTAGAAACAGTGCAGAATGGTACCTCATAATTCATCTGAAAGTTTCCCCTGCTCATGCGCTTTATAATTGCTCCCTGAACTACACCATGGCTAAGTTCATACTTATTTCCTAAAAAAACAGACAAAAAAAGCCAGAAGGGTAAGAGTAGCCCAGGTAAAGCACTATCTGTCTGACAAGGACCCAAACAGGAGGCCAAGCAGTGTACTGGCTTCCAGATTCATCTTCCAAGTCAGAAGGACGAATCGAAATCCCAGCTCCCTTCCTTGTTAGCTGGGAGCAAGGGGTGAAGAAAACAAGATGAAATCAGCACAGCTAAGCTGACTTAGAAGGGAGTCTGTACAGTCAGGCGGACCATATTGGTTCAAATGGGAGGAAGCCCAAGGAAAAGATTTTTTTAAAAATATATTTTATTGATTTTGTACAGAGAGGAAGGGAGAGAGATAGTTAGAAACATCGATGAGAGAGAGTCATCGATCAGCTGCCTCTTGCACACCCCCTACTGGGGATATGCCCGCAACCAAGGTACATGCCCTTGACCGGAATCGAACCCGGGACCCTTCAGTCCCCAAGCCGACACTCTATCCATTGAGCCAAACCGGTTTCGGCCCAAGGAAAAGATTTTATTTCCCTTTAACTAGCAGGAGAACTTGAGTTTTTGAACTCTTCAGTTGTGTCAATGCCTAGAGGATATATAAATACTATAGATAACCCCCTGAAGAATTGATATCCATTATGCAGACCATCACTAACCTAGAGGATTAACATTTTAGACCAATCCAGAAGCTAGGAATACAGGGCTGAGTTTGAGTCTTCTCAAGAACTCTCAACTTTTTTTTTTTTTTTTGGAGCACTCTGAGTGTTAGCTCTTAATGTTTCCAATTTGCAAATTCTAAGACCCTTGAATAAAACTTTTGTCATTTTCAATATTATCAAGGTCTCCTAATGCATTTATGCTTGGTTGCCACTTGTATAACCTTAACGTCACATCAACTTCTCTCCACCTCCCTTACTGCATCTATAACATGAGAACAAGACTTCCAAAGATCTAATGAATCTTCACTAAATGTCAACCATGCTCAGGATACCGGGAACATTTTGGGGGTGTAAGGGAGATACAGCAGGAAACAGGGCAGCCACAATCCCTGCTTAAAGCACCTTATACCCTAGACAGAGTGCAAAAGAAAATACAAACACACAAATCACTTCATTAAACCCAAGCAGGGCAGACATCCGCCTGCTTGTTCACTATTGCATTTCCTCCAGATCTCCCGGCAGCTGACAGTGTCCGGGGGGGACACAGGTGCCTAAAAAACACCAATGTAAGGAAGAAAGGCAGGAAGTGTGAGCGCGAAAAGCCAGTTTTCCCGAGGCAGAGGAATATGAGCTGAGCAGCCTGGCTGGGCCTCTAACTAGCTGAGTAGCTTTGGGCAAGTTACTTCCCCCTCTCTGAGACTCAATTTCTCACCCGAGAGCAAGTTTACCGTGACGGTGCACAATGGTGTTTTACTGGGGCGGGGGGGAGGAGTGACTTAATGAAATCTAGCTTCATTAAGCACTACATGCCAGTCATGCATTCAAATGTAATACATAATACATGGCATACATGCCTCACCGAATGGTTCCAAGAGCCCTGTGAGATTAATACTGCAACTGGAATTTCACAGGAGAGGAAACAGGCTGAGAGGTGAAGAAACGGGTCCCAAGGCTACAGTGGTGTCGGTACTTAAACCCAGAGAGTCTGGCTCCAGGGCAGGTACTTATCCTCGCTCATCTGCTCATCTTCAAAGTAAAATGCATCGATCAGGATCAAACACCGAAACGGCGCCAAGGGGGCAACGGAGACTGAGCGCGGTTAAATGACGCCTGTACCAGAGCGACAGGGCAGGGCCTGAACCGACCAGGCCCCAGGGCCCAGGCTCCCCCTGAGGCCCAGCGGCTGCCGGAGCGTGAACGAATGATGGAAGAGGCGGGGACGGGGGAGTGAGTCCTCAAGGCCACGCGGGGTGCAGGGGGCGCAAGGGAGCCCCGCGCCGCACCGCACCGCACCGCACCGCACCGCCCAAGCCCCGGAGCCTCGGCCCCTCCTCGCCCCGAGCCGGGCCGTCTCACCTGCGCGGCGGCAGCGGAGCAGCGCCCGGGCCTCCTGCACCGTCCGCCGCCGGCCGAGCCGCGCCTCCAGCGCCGGGTGCCGGTAGCCCTTAGGGAAGCGGTGCTTCGCCACGGCCGCGCGGCCCTGGAAGCGGCCGCGGAACACGCGCGCCTCGGCGCCCTGCTTCACCAGCTCCAGGCCGCTCAGGAAGCGGCTGCACCGCTCCCGGGCCGCGGCCAGCGCCTCGGCCGCCAGCGCATCGGCCTCCGGCGCCGGGTCCCCATTCTTCGCCGCCGCCACGGCTCCCGCCGCCGCCATGGCTGCGCCTCGGCGCCCCTCGGCTCTGCCCGGAAGCTGTCCGAGACGTTCGGCTCGCTCCGCAGAGCCTCGGCTCCCTTGGGCCAATCAAACGCCGACACTCCCGCCCCGCGTGCGAGTGGTTCCGCCTCCCAACCTTTCGGCCCCGCCGACGACCCGAAAAAGACTCCGGTGGCCCCGCCCCCCTATCTTCGGCTCTTTCCGGAAATTTTCGGCCTGACTCGGGTCTTTTCCGGAGCTGGGCGTTTACAGCATAGAACAGTGGTTGGCAAACTCATTAAAGCCAAATATTAACAGTACAACGATTGAAATTTCTTTTTTGAGAGCCAAATTTTTTAAACTTAAACTATATAGGTAGGTACATTGTTACTAACTTAATTAGGGTACTCCTAACCTGGCCTTTGCTAAAAACTCAAGGGTCCAAAGAGCCGCATGTGGCTCTCGAGCCACAATTTGCCGACTACTGGCCTAGAAGGCAACCACAGATTCCTGATACAATGTGCAATGCAGCAAAACATCATTTCTCTGAGTTTCAGCTTCATCACCTTCAGTACAAAGATAATCAGTTTTACTTTGGCAATTGCTTATTAAAATTAAATAAGATGTTGCCTGTGCTGGTGCCTGGTGGTTGGCATACACTCTTCATATGTTCATCCGTCTTCCTTTTGGGACTCTGAAACACTGGAGAAAGGCCCTTTGGTCCTAGGGTTGCTGTGACACTTGCTCTCAACTCCACAATTTCTTTCATCAAAGGGCGGGTCACCTTTTCAAACATCAGACCCTTTGTGATGGTATACTGTGGTTTCCAGCACCCCGCATCAGGCGAGACTACTCAGGGCTCACCCAGAACTAACTCGATTAATAACGCCCAGTTTCCCAAGTGTGTGGTTTCATTATCATAATTGTTAGTGTCCACATAAGCCTTCTATTTCTATGGTTACCGAATCGGTCTGAGCCCCGCCTTTGAAAAATCCACTGTGCAAACATATTTACATCCCGGGCTTGCTATGGTCAGACTGGTTCTGGCTTCCATGGCAGGAAACTTAGCTTAAAGCCTTCCAATGGCCCCCCACTGTGCTTGGGATAAAGACCCACAAGGTCCTGCATCTCCCAGACTTAGCCCCCACCAAATCCCCCTTTGCCCTCCATCTTCAAACACAATTGCCTTTTCTCAGCCTTTCATTCTTTTCAGGCGCCCTCTTGCCACCGAGCCTTTGCACCTGCAACTTCTCACTGCTCTTCCCTCCCTTTGTTGTCTAGACCCATCTGCATATCCTTTCATTCTTAGCTCAAATGTCAGTTCCCCACAGAAGCCCTCCTCACTTCTCAGAAGAGTGAAAAATCCAACTTTTCTTAAGTTCTGGTGCCTCCATGAACCTCTTCTCGTTTGCATTGTCACAGACAGTCTTTTCTGTTCGTATTGGTGGTGGGGTTTATATTTCCAGGGGCCTTCGTTCCTTGTTGCCTATGGCCTTCAGGTCCCTCTCACCTCTTGCCACGTGGGCCTCTCACGACATAGCAGGTGGCTTCATCAGAGTACATGAGTGAGAGCTCAGGAAAGGATGAGCAAGATGAAGTCACTGTCTTTTATAACCTAACCTCTGAGATGACATAACCACTTTTGCTGTATTTTATTAGTTAGAAATGAATCACTAGGTCCGGTGCAGCCTCAAGGGAAATCATTTGTGAAGATGCTACCGAAATGCTTGATTAGGACTTTCCCTTTCTCATCTGGGAAAACAAATAAAGAGGGATTCTCTAGGAGAGAGAGAACATGAGACCAAGTGTGCAAACATGCTCATGACTTAATGCCAGCCACAGAGATCACAGAGAACGTCATGCTCCTTTCCACTGGGTAACTTCCATTGGGCACTTGACAGGAATGGAGCGTTTGCTGTACAAAGTCCCCCAGTGACAAATCCAGACTCACAGATGAAGGAGGCGCTGTCACTTGGCAATGGCCAAGAGGCCTCCTTGGGATCTTTTCGTGCCAGAAAGGTAGCAGAGCATGATGGGTAAGTACCTGATTTTCCCATGACTGGGCTTGACTCCCAGCTCAGCTATATGCTAGTGTATGTCTTTGAGCTCTATTTATCTTATTTATTTGTTTATTATGCAAGCAGGTTACTTCACATCCCTTTGCCTCAGTCACATCTTTCATAACATGGGGGTCATTGTAGTAACTCCTTTCTCATTAGGTAGTTGTAAGGGTTAACAGTGAGCTAATAAAGGTCAAGTGCTGAAATCAAAGTATATAATCATTGCCCCATAGTTAAAGCTATTGTCCTGGTTACTATTGCTGCATAACAATTTACTCCAAAACAAAGCCCAGTGCCCGAAATTTGTGCATGAGGTGGGGAGAGGGAAGGGGGGTGCCTCAGTCCAACCTGCACCTTCTTGCAATCCAGGATCCGACTGCCGATTTGGGCCCTATCCCACAGGGATCCCTGTGAGATCGGGCCTAAACTGGCAGTCAGACATCCTTCTTGCAATCCAGATTGCTGGTTCCTAACCACTTCACCTGCCTGCATGATCGCCCCTAACCACTAGCCTGCTTTCCTGATAGCTCCTAACTGCTCACCTGCCTGCCTGCCTGATGGTCCCTAACTGCCTCTACCTTGGTTCCTGCTGCCGTGGCTTTATCCAGAAGGACATTCAGAATGACATCCAGAAGGTCATTCAACTGTCTGATCTAATTAGCATATTATGCTTTTATTATTATAGATACTCATGGAATGTGTGGGTCATAAATCAAGCCTGGGAACAGTAGAGGTGGCTTGTTTCTGCTGTACATGATCCTGGGCCTCAGCTGGAAAGATTTGATACTAAGAACTGGAATCATCTGAAGGCTCAATCTAGAGCCGGTGCTGGGATGACTCAAAGGCTTGGACCACCCATTAAAGCATGGCCTCATGGTCTCTCTCTGCACCTTGAACTTCCTCACAGCATGGCGGCCTCAGGGTAATGGGACTTCCTAGAGGTGAGGGGCTCCAGGTGCCGGTGTCCCACTGGCTCAGCCTCAGAAGTCACACACTGCTACTCTGTGCACTGGTTGAAGCAGTCACAAGTCCATTTTGATCTCAAGGAAGGAAACAAAGGATTTTGGAGCCATGTTTTCAAACTGCCCAGCTATTATTATTTCCAGAAGTGTACAGGACCCGCTGGCTCAGAAGGTCTTGTCAAATGCTGTCTTCTTTTCCGGGTGCCCAGTTATGTCTGTGGCATACAGTCCATGCTGAATGAGGGTATGTGACACATGTCAACTAATGAATTTGTGTATGAACACAGGATGAGAAAAGCCTGTGACCATATATATATATATGTTTTTGCCTGAGAGTGAGAATTAGTGGGGGTATCCCCAGCCTGGCTCCTTTCCAGAATTCCAAACTCTTACATCCAACACCCCGTCTATTCACACGGGGAGCACCTTAACCATCACACAGCCAAAACAGAACTCTAGATGTTCTCTCCTGCCCCAACCTACACCTTTTCCAATCAGTAGGTCCTTATCAAGTCTCCTTCTGACCTGCCCACTTCCCTCCCTCCCCACTCCTATCACCTAATCCAAATCAACTCCACCTCTCACCTGCAAAAGTTTCCCCATTTCCACTCTCACTCCCTATAACCTACCAGAATACCTCAATTACGTTTTTGTGTCACTTGGAATAAAATCAACATTTCCCACCTCGGCCTCAAATGATCTGGCCCTTGCCAGCACACTTGGGCCCCATCTCCCTCCACTCTCTCTATCACGTGCTATGCTCCTGACACTCTGGCTTCATTTCTGTTGCTCCTTATACTCCACAAGCTCCTTCTGCCCTGCCTGGGACCTGAGGTCTCAGCTCAAATACCTACTCTTCAGAACAGCTTTCCCAGACCCCCAAGCTAAAGTAGCCACTCGTACCTGCCTACCCCGTCACCTTAGTTCCATTCTCTACCCAGCCATGATCGCTAGCTGGCATTTCTCTGGCTTGTTATTTAACTTTCGTCCTCCCCCACTGGAAAGCAAATTGCACAAGAGCAAACAAATGTGTCTGCCTTATTCTCCCAGCCCAGCCCTGAGGCCAGCACAGTGCCTGCGGTACTTGGGAGGGGTCCAAACCTGTGTCCAATGGTGGGAGGATGAGTCCACAGGAGAGTGAGTGGCTCAAGTGGGTATGTGTGTGACCCCATCCGTGTAGAGGCGTGTGTGTGTGTGTGTGTGTGTGTGTGTGCGCGCGCGCGCGTGCGCGCACGTGTGTAGATGTTGGTGGCCAGACTAGTGTGGACCGCAGTGACTTTGACATCTTCTTCCTACGGGGTTGGATGGGGAGGGAAATGCATGAGGGGGCCCGAACAGGGATGACAGACAGAGGGGAGCACCCTGGGAAGGATGGGGAGAGGCATCCCTCCCTGGAGAGCTGAGAGGAGTGGCCTCCAGCCAGCCACAGGGTGAGGGTTAGTCCCTCTGTCCCGCCTCCAGACACAGGGGGCCAGGGCTGGCCTACGTGGCAGCAGCGGCGTTGGGGGCGGGCGGGCAGGCCGAGGGGGAGGGACGGAGGCGGGCCGGCCTGAAAGTTTGTGGGCCTGGCCGGGACTCAGGCCCAGGGATGCGCGCCTGGACGCTCCCTGCCCGCAGCTGGCCCCGGTGTCTCGCTCGCCATGGGTAAGTCCGATCGGGCGCTGCCCACTGCAGAGTCCCCGCGACCTCCTCTGTGCGGGCGCCCCCCGCCCGGGCGGCGCACCCCTACCGGGCACCGCCCACGCGGAGGCGAGCCCCGCACCCAGGCCCGGGCTGGGGCAAGGAAGGGACCTGGGCACACTTCCTTCCATGCTTCTTTCTGCCCAGGAAAAAGTGACTTGCGAGTGCTGCTTCCCTAATGCGGAGCGCTCACTGGGGCCAGGCCCTCTCTCTTGGCCGCCTCAAGCCTTATAGTCCCAGGCAAGCGAAGCTGTTCTGTTCTGTTCTGAAAAAACAAAGAGAGGCTCTGCAAGGAGCAAATTCATGAATTAATAAACCGAACACCTCTGTTTACCAGGCCTGAGGGTGCTGCCCTGAGCCTACAGACACAACCTCTGCTCTGGAGATGGTTCAACAGAGCGGAGACAGGAGATGAGAAGGACGGTGTGTGGGAGTCAAGAATTTCTTTGTTGCTATGGGGGACCAAGGTTTTAATATTTTTTCCTCAGGATTCGGAAGCCTCAACGGGACACTCTGCCCTCCATTCATCTACTGTGTGGCAGACGTAGGTTTACAGGTTGGGGGCTTAGGGGAGCACATATAATGAGGTGGTGTGATAGTGATGAGGGGGGCAGGTTTTGGGGTAAGCAGGCAGGAGGGCCTCCTGGAGCAGGAGACATTGGAGCTGTATGAGCTATCACTCAAAAGAACTGAGCTTGCTAAGATCCCATAGAAGAGCTTCGAGGTGGAGGAAACAATCAGTGCAAAGGCCCTGGGGCAGGAGTGAGCTGGAGGAGTCCAGTCCTTATGGCGGGAGTACATTGGGCAAGGGGAGAGCAGGGAAAGGGAGGTCAGAGAGGTAGGCCAGGGCTGGATTATGTGGGACTTTGTAGCCATAGTGAGAAGTTTGGATTCTATTCCAAATAACATGAGAAGCTGGAGAAGGATTTTAAACTTGGGGGAGGGAACATGACCTGAGTTGTGTTTTAAAAACTCACTCTGGGTTGTTCTGTGGACACTCAAAACAGCGAACACTGGCTGCCAGGTAGGTAGGCGTATGAGGTGGATATGACTCTTATCCTCATTTGTAGGCGAGGAGTCTCAAAGAGGTTAAGTGAGCTGCCCAAGGTTGTACACCAGTGAAGAGGAGACACTGGGATAGAACCCCCACTCTGGTTCCAGCCTGCATTCCTAACCGCTGTACCACCCAGCCTCTGAGACACAGGGTAATGGAGACCAACTCCAGCTCTGGCTCCAGCGTCCTAATTTGACGGCCAGGATTTGGTCTGTTCCTGTCCATGGCCACTTCTGGGCCCTGGATCTCGCCAGATGTTCAAGAGCCAAGATCCTTTCTCTCTGGATTTCCTACAACCAGAGTTCATTCCTTCATTCATTCAATCAATTATCCATTTATTCAACAAGTATTTATTGAGGGCCAACTATATGCCACAAACTGTCCTCAGCATCAGAGAGACAGCTAAGCTAGCAATTCCTCTTCCTTTGGGGCTGACATTCTGGTAGGGGAGACCAATAAATATGTAAAACATAGTTATTTCCAATGGAGATAAAGTACCCTGGAGAAACACAAGCAGGGAAAGAGGATGTGAAGTGCTGGATGCTAGGGGGAGGCCAGTGTGGCCAGAGTGAGAGGAGGCAGATCTTGCTGGGCCTTGAAGGTCACTAGAAGGACTGCGGCTGGAGAGAAGAGGGAGCCTGGGAGGCTCTGACCAGAAGGACACGGTCCAACTTAGGCTTTCGCAGGAGCCTTCTGGTTACTTCCTTTCCACCTCTCTCCCGTCTCCCCCTGCTCTCTCTCACACCCCATCTATCTCTGATTGGCCCTTCTTGCTTGAAGTCAGTTCAGCAAAGCTCTTAAATATGTAGGTTTGGGATTCAGATGGGTCAGCATTTGAATCCCGATCCTGTTGCTTCTCAGCTGTGAGAACACTCTAACCCTCAGTTTCTTCATTTGTAAAATGGGGATAACTGTAGCAATACCGCTTAAAGTTGTTATGAAGATGAATTGAGAGAAGGCACCTGAGATTGCATAGTGGAGATGCTCAATAAATGACACTGGTTATTATGACTATTTCATTTCACGATCATTCTTCCTTGTTCTCTTGCCACTGTAGCCAGAATCTGTTCTGATGCTTTTTCCAGCAAAACCTATAGACAGTGAGCTTTGCCTCTGAGCCCTTTGGCCGGGTAACCTGTCATCTCAGGAGGAACCTAAGATACAGCAAACAGATTCCGTGCTTTCCCTTGATTGCCTCTCATGGCCTGGAAGACCTTCCTTTCTGACAGCAAATTCCAAGGACTGAGGGAGGTGGGGCAAAGAGAGGTAATGATGAGGCAGGACCTGGGCAGTATAATCTCCCCGGGGTGTTTACTGGTCATGAGCAGGTCATGAGCAGGTAGAACAAGGCCAGAGAGAGAAGGGTAGGAGTTATTTGCCTGGGGTGGACAAGGGGGGGGGGAGTAGGGGGGTGTTATGGAAGAAGGGTTAGCAGAAAGAAGGGGATTTTTCCACCCATGAAACTCCTCTATCTGTACAAAAATTGCCTAACGGAGATGGGAAGAAGTAGAAATAAGAAAGAAGTGAAATCATATTATGCCAAGGTTTTCTAATGGAGTGGTGAAGAGAATGGTGCCAGCCGGCCTGGCTATGAATCTAGGCACAGCTACTAACTGCTTTTAACCGTAGGCAAGTCATTTCACCTCTCTGATGATCAGTTATTCATTCATAAATAATACAAAAGCCCACCATCTAAAGTTGTGGTAAGAATCAAACAGGTTTTTGTACGTATGCTCTCAAAACAGTGCTTTACGTGCAGTAACTCACTTGGTCCAGAGAAAACACTCAATAAATCTGGTTACAATGTTATGAATGTTGTCAGGTCTGGGTGGTTTGGCTGGAGCCAGCTCACGAAGGGCCTGGGATATTATGTGAAGGAGTTAGGACTTAGCATGGTGTGAAATACTGCTGGACTACTCTAGATGCTTCCAGAAACATTTAAGTTTAAATATGTGGATTAAAATTTCAGAGTAAACTGTGCAAGTGAACTGCCCATTTGGTAGCCTTTAGCCATATGTGGCTATTTTTACATGTAAATGGATAAAAATTAAATAAAATGAAAATTCAGTTTCTTAATACCATTAGTGACACTTTAAGTGCTCAAGATCCATGTATGCTGTGACTACCATAGACCAGTGGTCGGCAAACTCATTAGTCAACAGAGCCAAATGTCAACAGTACAACAATTGAAATTTCTTTTGAGAGCCAAATTTTTTAAACTTAAACTTCTTCTAACACCACTTCTTCAAAATAGACTCACCCAGGCCGTGGTATTTTGTGGAAGAGCCACACTCAAGGGGCCAAAGAGCCGCATGTGGCTCACGAGCCACAGTTTGCTGACCACAGCCCTAGACCAACCCTTTCCCCGGCACAAGCCTTCAAAGGCTTCCACCCACTGACAGTGAAATTCATCATTGTCCTCATGACCTACAGAGCTCCACATACATGATCTACCCTGCCTGCTTCTCCTACCTCATCATCTTCTCTCACTCACTTGCTGGGCTCCAGCCACGCTGGTCTCCTTGCTGAATAGCACAGTGATTAAAAGCCTGCACTCTAGCTACAATCAGCTCTGCCACTTACTTGCGGAGTGACTCTGAAGAGTTTCTTAATTTCTCTGTGCCTTGGAGGATGATGCTAATAATAATATGTTATAGGGTTGTTGTAAATGAGGAGTGAAGGAAGGAAATACATAGAAAGCTCCTAAAACAGGGTCTGGTGCTAAAAAAGGGTAAGTGCCAAATAAGCATTAGCTATTAATATTAATAGTTATTGTTCAAACATACCAAAAATTGTCGTGCCCCAGGGCGTTGGGTCTTGCTGTTCCCTCTGTCTAAAATGTCATTCACCCAGGTTTTATATGACTTTTATCCTCACTTCATTCAGATCTCTGTTCAGATTTTCCCTCTACAGAGAGACCTTAGCTGACTATCCTATTTAAAGAAGTCCGCCATCACTCTCAGTCTCCTTTCTTTGCTTCTTTAAATGATACCTATCGCCACCTGAAGTTATAGCACAGATTTATTTGTTCCTCATCTGCCTTTTTCTACTATTGCCAGCCCTAATAATACAGGTTGGTGTTGTAAGTGTCAGATAAAATATGTTTTGAATAAATGGTTGAATGGATGGGTGGATACATAAGGGATGGAATACACATATGGCTGGATGAATGGATTTTCTTGTGAATAGATGGATTAATAGATGGATGTTTGGGTGAATTAAGGGGTATGCGAATGGACAAATTAATAGATGAATATGTGGTGGGTAAAGTAGATGGATAAATTGAAGAAAGTATAATGAAGGGATGGGTTGATTGATCAATAAATAGATGTGCAAATGGATAAAAGGAGTGGATGAGTGGATAGATGGTTCAATAAATAGATAGGTGAATGATAGAGTAGTTGATGAAGGAGTGAGTGGATAAAAGAAGGAGTGGATAGATGCATGGGTAGATGGATGGCTGGGTGAATGGAGGAAGTAGATGAATGGGTGGAGGGATGGAGGGAGAGATGGGTGAAGGAAGAAGTGGATGGTGAATAATGAGTGGATGAATCAATGGATGATAGATGAATAAATGGATAGATGGATGGATGGATAGATGGATGCAACTGTCAAACAGAGGAGTGGTTGAATGGATGGAGGCTCTAGCAAGGAACCATTCTGAACCCGGCCCCTGTCACTTTTGTTTTCCAGGCCGCCCACCACCCCTCCTGCCCCTGTGTGCCTCTGTGTCTTTGCTGGGTGGCTTGACCTTTGGTTATGAACTGGCAGTCATATCGGGGGCCCTGATGCCACTGCAGCTTGACTTCGGGCTCAGCTGCTTGGAGCAGGAGTTCCTGGTGGGCAGCCTGCTCCTGGGGGCGCTCCTTGCCTCTCTGGTGGGGGGCTTCCTCATTGACCGCTATGGCAGGAAACAAGCCATCCTGGGGAGCAACGTGGTGCTGTTGGCAGGCAGCCTGAGCCTGGGTCTGGCTGGCTCCCTGGCCTGGCTGGTCCTGGGCCGCTCGGCAGCTGGCTTTGCCATCTCCCTCTCCGCCATGGCCTGCTGCATCTACGTGTCCGAGCTGGTGGGGCCTCGGCAGCGGGGGGTGATGGTGTCCCTCTACGAGGCAGGCATCACCGTAGGCATCTTGCTCTCCTACGCACTCAACTACGCGCTGGCCGCCGTGCCCCGGGGCTGGAGGCACATGTTCGGCTGGGCTGCTGCGCCCGCTCTCCTGCAGTCCCTCAGCCTCCTCATCCTCCCTGCGGGTATAGGCGATGCCACCTATACCCACAGGGATCTCATCCCCCTCCAGGGAGAGGAGGCCACCGAGCAGGGCCTGGGGAAACCACGATACTCATTTTTGGACCTCTTCCGGGAGCGGGACAACATGCGAGGCCGGACCACCGTGGGGCTGGGGCTGGTGCTTTTCCAGCAGCTAACAGGGCAGCCCAACGTGCTGTCCTATGCCTCCACCATCTTCCACTCTGTTGGCTTCCGTGGGGGATCCTCAGCTGTGCTGGCCTCCGTGGGGCTTGGCGCTGTAAAGGTGGCAGCTACCCTGACTGCCATGGGGCTGGTGGACCGAGCAGGCCGCAGGGCCCTATTGCTAGCTGGCTGTGCCCTCATGGCCCTGTCTGTCAGTGGTATAGGCCTGGTCAGCTTTGCTGTGCCCATGGACTCGGGCCCCAGCTGCCTGGCCGTGTCCAATGCCACCAGGCCATTAAACCTCACTGGAGACTCTGGCCTGCCAATGGGCTTCTCTTCACATCCACTGTCAACCACCAGCGAGAACCAAGAGGAGCCTGTCTCACCAATTCCTGAGAAAACCAAGCATCCTTCCAGAGCTGGGAATCCCACAGCCCTTCCTGTGCCAGTCCTGAGCACCGGCTCCCCGGCACCCCCTGCCCCTGCCCCGGAGCGTGCCCTGCTGCTCTGGACCGCGCTGGTCTGCATGATGGTGTTTGTGAGCGCCTTCTCTTTTGGATTTGGACCAGGTAGGTGCGAGATCCTTTGCAGGTGACTCTGAACTTTCTACCCTTCCTAATGGGAAGCTTGGGGATGGTGCCCTTCAGGGTCTCGGAGGGACACTAGAGGGCGCTTGACCATGAAGCCAGTGCAGCTTTAGCTTCAGGACTGCATGTTTGTAATATTGTTTACTTTTAAAAAGCCCCCAAGCGGTTTGGCTCAGTGGATAGAACGTCGGCCTGCGGACTGAAGGGTCCTGGGGTTTGATTTCGGTCAAGGGCATGTACCTTGGTTGGGGGCACATCCCCAGAGGGGGGTGTGCAGGAGGCAGCTGATCAATGATTCTCTCTCATTGATGTTTCTAACTCTATCCCTCTCTCTTCCTCTCTGTAAAAAATCAATAAAATATATTTTTATTTAAATAAAAATAAAATAAAAGGCCCCCAAATCATTAAACCTAAAACCTGAATTTGCTCCTGAATAGCTCACTCAAAGAATTTGAAGGGAATTTAATGAATAGGGTGATCAACTATCCCGGACTGCCCAGGACACTGAAAGTCCCATGTCCCAGGCATCCACACCCTTGGTCCTGTTGGTCACGCGATAGGGATTCTGGGGTCTTACAGCCGTGGGGGAAGCAGCCGGGGAGAATCTGGTCTCAGTAGCCTACCCGGTTTGAATCACACGGAGGGAAGGACCCTGCATGCCCGCCCAGTCTGGCCACCGCTTAGGAGCTCTCCCTGCTCTCCTGTCCTAGTGACCTGGCTGGTCCTCAGTGAGATCTACCCCGCGGAGATCCGAGGAAGGGCCTTCGCCTTCTGCAGCAGCTTCAACTGGGCCGCCAACCTCTTTATCAGCCTCTCCTTCCTCGACCTCATCGGTGAGTGCGCTCACCTCAGTCCTCGGTCCAGTGTCTAAGGATTCTTTCTCAGGGCTGGCCTTTGCCACCACTGCCTCCTGCAGCTGTTTCTGTGCTAAGGTGGGTAGTAGTCTCCCTCCGTTCACATTTTCTGATTCCGGGCACACTCCACCCATTGTTCGTGGTTTAGATGTGAGTGAGTGGGCCTTCCCAGAGAGACAAGATGCCTGGGCGGCGTTTGTGGAGCTGAGTCCTGCCTCTGCCTGCCTCTGGGACCATCAGTCCCACTCCCGCTTTAAGGTATTTTTCTGACAGTTGTTGGTCATTCTGGAGAATGTTCCTTAGGTGAGCTGACTCTCAGTGTGTGACCCGGAACCAGCCAGCTGGCTGCGCCCAGGCCCACACTCCCACTCCCTGTTCCCAGGCTCCATCGGCTTGTCCTGGACCTTCCTGCTGTACGGGCTGACCGCTGTCCTTGGCCTGGGCTTCATCTATGTGTTTGTCCCTGAAACAAAAGGCCAGTCGTTGGCAGAGATAGACCAGCAGTTCCAGCGGAGACGGTAAGGGGGACAGGGCAGCCCTTGGGGTAGAGTCCCGTCCAGCCCGAGCGCTTCCTGCAGGACCTGAGCTGTCAGACCCTCCCTTTGCAAGAGAGCGCTTTTCTTTTCTTCCAGCCTCTCTTACTAGACGCTGTGCATTTGACTTCCTACGGGAGCTGGTCTCCTTGAGTGGCTTGGAGTCTTCCTACCACAGAGTTTCATTTGGCTTTAAGCCCAGCTCACAGGAATGTTTATATCCTGAAATTGGGGAATGGCAGGAGGTTAGAATACAAGGATAGGGTCCGGCTGGAGCTGGGGACTCAGGGGCACGTGGCAGTGAGGAGAGACACAGGGAGACCAAGAGGAGGAGCTGGGTAATGCAGAAGATGGAAATGGATATTGAGGCCTGAAGTAGGAGGGAACAGGTAAGATTGGGGGTGGCGATGAGGGATCCCAGGGGGTGTTCCACTCCTATCTTCTCTCAGACACCCTGATTCTGATCACTCTCTGCTTGGCAGGTTCCCCCCGAGCTTTGGCCACAGGCAGAACATGTCTGGCGTCCGGTACAGCCGCATCAAGGCCTCTGCGGCGTCCTGAGGAGCCCGCTGCTTGGGAAATGCTGGGCCCATGGTTTTAGCAGCCGAGGTCCAGCTTCCTGCCTGCCTGGGCTCTGGAGCACAAGTTCTAGGTGGTCGTTTGAGACTGAGCCCTGCTCCAGAGAAGGTCTTCTGTGCTGGGGTGAAAGGGATGGGAGTCTGAGAACCCGAAAGTCTTCATGCTCAGTCTCAGGCTATGAGGGTTTCTGCAGAACTGCCTTCTTGCCTCAGTTTCCCCACTGGCACTGCACACTCTGCAGTGCTGATAATGAGAACTTCTTGTGGAGTTTCCACTGTGTCCTGGGCTTTCTCAGAGAATCTCTGGCAGGAAGGCTCTCGCCCCCCAATCCAGCTGAGGATGCCATAGTCTCTGTTCTTTTGTCTCAGCGAGGGGGAAGCCTGCTCTTTTGACTCTTGGAAATCAGTTTTGCTCACCCCTCTAATTCTCTTATCCGGAATATCTACCATTCACCAGCAATCCACGCTGGTCAACAAGAGGCTTTGAGTTCTAGTCCTGAATCTGCTGCTGTCATTGCTGTATGACCATGGGCCTCAGTTTCTCCCCATTGTACAGTTAGGACCTGGACCAAGTGGTTCTTTTTTTTTTTTTTTTTTTTTTTTTTTTTTTTTAGTATATTTTATTGATTTTTTTTTTAGAGAGGAAGGGAGAGGGATAGAGAGTTAGAAACATTGATCAGCTGCCTCCTGCCCACCCCCTTCTGGAGATGTGTCCACAACCAAGGTACGTGCCCTTGATCGGAATCGAACCTGGGACACTTGAGTCCACAGGCCGACGCTCTATCCACTGAGCCAAACTGGTTAGGACCCCAGTGTGCACACCAATGAATTGGAATTCTAAATGCTGATAATACAACAGCTACTCAACATGGGCCTGCTCTTAAGTTGTTAGTCATCTCTTGGGAGGATGTAAGTTTCATTAGGAGAAAGGTCGACAGAAATCCAGAATTAAGTGTCTTAACATCCAGCGTAGAAGGAGATATACTGGGGCTGTCTCTGGGCTGGTGCTGGCTGCCCTTTCATGCGAAAGGAGATGGTTTGGAGGCCCACAGACCTGGTTGTCTGTCTTGCCTCTACCTCTTGGCAGCTGTTGACTTTGAGTGAGTAACAGCTCCCTCAAGCTCTAGCTCTTCATTCTCTCCTCTCCTTTCTACACACAGATGCTCCTCGACTTGTGACGGGGTCACAGCCCATTAAACCCATCCTGAAGCCAAAAATGCAGTTAGCAGACCTCACCTATCACATCTCGAAGCTTAGCATGGCCTACCATAAACATGCTCAGAACACCTGCATAAATTAGCCTACACCTGGGCACAGCCATCCAACTAAACACTGTGGGTAAAGGTTGTGTGCCCTCACGATGGAGTGGCAACCTGGGAGCTGAGGCCCGCTGCCGATAGCCAGTATCACAAGAAAGTATCGTACCGCGTGTCACCAGTCCAGGGAAATGGAAATTCAGAATTCCAAGTGTGGATTCATATTGCTCTCACATCATCATAAAGTCAAAAAAATCATAAGTTGAACCATCGTAAGTTGGGGTGACTGTACTTCCCTTCAGGCCGCAGGGGTGCTGGTGCTGGCTCCTTCTGGCTCTGATAGCTGACTGTTAACTTTTCAGGATTTTTGAAACACAGTTAAACACAGCCATTAAAAGAAATTAAATTACTTAAACTCGTAATCAAATAAATTGTATTAAAAACAAAGGAAATAAACACAAAAAACGCATCACTTCCTCATTTTACCACATTTTACTACTATCTGTGCCCTGGAAGTTACTTAGATCTATTGCATCTTCCGAGGGACTCAGGGAACTGGGGCATTTCCTACTGATTCCACCTCTATCTGCACTGGCCATGGGGAGTGTGTTGGCACTACAGAGAGGGGAGAACATTACGGATGTTTTGTTGGTTTTCCAGTCTTAAGACTGCGACGGGTAGAATGTTAATACCAGTGCAAATAAGGCACTTATGTCCATTGTGTCTATGGCCAGTACACTGTGAGAGGCACAAAAAATGGAGGAAATGTTGTTTTATGATGTGAGCTGTTTATTCAGCTCAACAAGCAAGTTGCTCATGCCATGGATAAAAGAGTTCTGATGAGCCCCTTCATTGTTTTATTTTCCTCTGACTCATCAAGGTAAACAAAAACTGCAACCAGCAGGAGTGTTGGAACACTACTTGTGAGCAGTCTTTTTGCTGAGTCACATTGCCATCGGGTGATTATTTGTCGTCTAATTTTGCCCAGCCGTGGCTCAATTGCAGTAATAGTTGTTTATGCATACAAGAGTTTGACAAAAAAATAAAAATCATTCCGTGAGAATTAATTGGCAATATGGAATTTATAACAAAGAGTATTTTCAAGAAAGTGTTCATATTATTTGTAAATTTTGCACATCAAACGCATTTTCATCCCAGCAGAATTTATGCGCGTGCATGCACGCGTGCATACACACACACTTTTCCCCTGGAGAGCAGTTGTTAAACACTTACCAGCACGTCCATGCTAAATTCTGTCCTTGGGACACCTTCAGATCAAATCATCTCTCCAGAGACTCCCAAACCTCTCTCAGTTCTCCTTTCCTGCCAACCTAGGTCCTAGGAGAAATGCGTTTCTAGTCTTAGGGCGAATTCTCCTCTTTTGGTATAAACTCACAGACCACGCGGGGAATGCCCAAGGGTGAGCCTGTTGTATCAGGCAGTAGGGAGTGGTGAGGTCTGTGGGGATGGGCAAACACAGGCCCTCTTTCAAGGGAGCGCTGGTAGCTGCTGTGTAAGAATGTGAGCCCCATGTGGCCTGACCATCTGAATCTTCAAAGAAATCGAGAAATTCAGAATTCCATGCAAAATTTCCTCATTTTAAAAACAGTATCAATGGATTCTTAATTGAAAAATAGCTTTAAAACCCAACAAAATACACCTGTAGCTAACTGATTACCTTTATTTTATTATTTTATTAATATTTTTATTGATTTCAGAAAGGAGGGAGAGGGAGATAGAGGGAATCATTGATTGGCTTTCTTCTGCATGCCTCACACTGGATCGAGCCTGCAACCCAGGCATGTGCTCTTGACCGGAATTGAACCCAGGACCCTTTAGTCCACAGACCAATGCTTTAATCCACTGAGCCAAATTGGCTAGGGCTAAATGATGACCTTTAGTATGTGCCTCAGTTCTTGATGCCTTTACCTCTGAAATACTTCTTAGGAGTTTTGAGGCTCCCAACAGGTGATGGCTTTTGTAAATCAGTATCGAGCAAACTGAGTAGCCAGGCAGCTTAATTTAAAGAGGTGGAAGGTGGTGTTATTGAACATGGAGAGACAAAGACATGCAGGGTACAAATGGTTCATACTTCAAACATATTACACTGGTCCCAGTTAGGTGTGTGACTTGGGTAACTGCTCATCTGTATAGTGGGAATGATGCTTTGTGTTATTTACAGATGCCATGTGTCCATCACTAGTTCAGAGCTGGGTTCATAGTATAGATGCTCAAACTGGTTGAGAAACTATTCCAGCATCCGCCAGGGACATCTGGCCCCCATGAGGAGGACAATGAGGGCAAGGACCAGGTGGCAGTTCAAAAGGGGGTGGGATCAAAATTATTTTTAATTTGGGGTACCTCCTGGGTACTCGAGATCTTTAGCACCAACCAAAAAGGAGACGTACCTGTTCATTGATCTGCAGAGTAGATGCTGGGAAATTCTCCCACTTATACCTTCCTGTGTTTGGCCAAATTGCATGACACAGACTGCTTACTGAGCACGTTTGCCTTTCAGATGGGTGGTCTGCTCTGGTGTTAACCACAGGTTTTCTTTACATCTTGGTCCTGATGTGATTGAGGATCGTGGGGCACAAAGATGATCTGAAAGGAGCTGCAGGAGGGAGAGATAGGGGTGTGAACTACATAGAGAGAAGGGGACCTGGCCCAGATGGAGGGGCCAGAAAGTGCACATGTGCAGACAGCACACCAGGTTTGAGTTCTGCCACGGCTACTTGCTAGTTTTGCCTCTAAGCACCTCAGTTTCATCATCTGTAAAATGGGGCACTTGCCAACCCTACCTCAAAGGTTTGAGGACAGTTGATTGAGATATCAGATGGAGAACCCACTTTCCAAGCTGTAAAGGGCCGTGCACCCATAGAGTGGGAATCCTCCGGAACGTCCCCCAGAACCAGGCAGTGCTCCCCCCATCCAAGGGCTGCCCCCACCCTGACCCAGGGCCAGACTCAGTTTCCATATTTGTTCATTTTGCTTCCAGCGCAAATATTTTTTCATCTGTGGCATAGGAGGAGGATGGAATTTTGACATCAGGCAAAAAAAATGCTCAGAGCCACGCTCTGAAAGTGTTTCCAGACCCCCATATGCTGGGTCCTGTCCAGGGCAGAAAGGAATTCTCTTGGGTGGGTTGGTACATGGGTTTGGAGTTTTCCTTCCTCATGGAATTTGAAGTGGAAAGGCTGACTTTCTGCTTTTAATTGATCCTCATAAGATGCGCTAAGTTCCCAAGTAGATTGTTCTGTTGAAAGCTTCATATTCTAAATGAAATTAAATAACTAAATCAAATTTAGTTCTTTAAAATTGTTTCATTTAATGAGATGAATGGCAGCACACAAAATATCATACACATTTCGGGATTATTTTCTCATTTACTTAGCTCTACCTTGTGCTAAAATTGTCTTGAAGCATTTGTTGACTCGTATTTAGGCCTTCCTAAGTTATTTGCCTATTACAGTCTCCACTCTTCGTTTGCATTCTTTAATTTCTGTGACAACATTTGAGAATCGTTAACGTTTGTTATTGCACATAAAGTCAATAGCTTTCTTAGTGTGTGTGTGGTTGTGTGGTTGTGTGTGTGGTTTTGTGTCTGTGTGTGTGTGTTCCCACTGCATTTGGCACTGCAGAGTTGCTAAATTCTTCCAGATTTGGAGCCCGATGCCATCCCAACTCGCCTGATTTGACAAGCTGGGTTGCTGGTTCCAGAGATGTGATCCCAAAAACCCTCTCTGTAGCATGTCATTGTCACAATAATAAATTTACATTTACTTTAAAGCTGATCGATACAATTTCAATATGTAAAGCAATCATACGATTTTTCTAAACCTCCAAGTTACCTGTGGAAGGTGAATAACATGCCTTTGTGTGTTTCATTCACGGGACGGATGGAAACCTCACTGATTACAGAGCCCCGGGTGACACACGGGTGGGCAGCTGTCCCTTTGACTTTCCAAAAACCAAAGCTAAGCCTAGCCTCCAATGGCCATTCTTGTCTCCATGCTGCAACCAACAGCAATCTTGGATGTACATGAACTTTCTAATCTGAATGGCTACTCAACAAGATATTAACAATGTTTAGATATTAAGGAGTGGAATAAAAAGGGATTTCAATTTGGTTGATTATGTTTGTTCTGAATTGTCAAAAATTTCAATGATTGTGTTTTTTCTGGATTATAAAAAATTTCAATGATTACTATAAAATTTGTAATCAAAATTTAAAAGAACCTCAATAAAAATTACTACAAACCATAAAGGTCAGAGTGAAGCTGCGGTACATTCGATTCTTATTCAATAACTATTTGCTCCCTCCCCACACTCCACAGAGTGCACTTTGTGGCCTCATGATGTCATTCTTGTCTACGAACATAAATCAAGCTGGTTAGAAATAAAGGTAGGCATTTGGACAGATAGCTATTTTCACATCATTGAGATCATACTGTATGTAAAGCATGGAGACATTTACCCTTTTATGCTATCAGGTCTTTCACACGAAGCTTACTTTGTGTACATGTTGCCCTTGCCAACATGAAGCAAGCATGGTAGCAGCAATTTCTCCCAGTGTCTGGCTTTTCTTTGTGTCTGAGTGTGTAGAAAATTGAATTATGTGCTTACCAAGTCAACATTCATTTTCCTGGCAAAGACAGAATCTGCCAGTGGAAACAGAGTGTTTTCATTTTCTCTCTTTCTTCCTCCCTCTCCTATGCTTTTCTGGTTTCTCTGTGTGCATCCCTCTCTCCCCGCATTTGGAAACTGTGAAGTTGCTAAGTTCTTCCAGATCTGGGGTCCAATGCCATCCTACTCCCCTGGATTTGACAGGCGGGCCGGTGGTTACTGAGATATGATCCATAAAGCTCTCTCTGAGGCCATCTGTCCGTCAATGTCAAGTCACGAGATCGGAGATGGCAGCCACGCTGCGTCTGGACGCCA